ATAATTAAATCGATTCGAACATTGATATACAATTAGCGTCTCAAAAGGATCCTCAAAAAGAAGTGCATAAATCGAAATTGAATTGCGCTTTTTTGACATATCGTTTGTTTATTGCTTTTCGAATGATGAAATTAATACACGCTGTTCCATTCGTTTAAAAAAGTACTTTATGCCATGTGCATAAGTTCGAATTTGTGTTTAGACAATTAGAACTTTCGATTTTTGAACTTTTTGTGATGCGGTAACAGACAGAAAGACAGACAGACAAACAGACATACAAAAATTCTAAAAACTATAGATTCGTTCTCTGTATCGATAATAATGTCTATTTCAACACGATTTTTCCAAAAAATAGTTAATGTACAGATTCGGCTTAATTATAAGTACAATTATTAAATTGTACTTATACCTAAGCCTATAACTATATGTATAGATGTACCTATGTAAGTCTGTGAGAGAGCTACTATCAACAAGGCAGGGAAGGGAAGCGACAACAGTCCTAGCTGTTGAATTTAATATTTTACATACAAACTTTCTTGATTAAAAATCATAGATTATTATCCAAAGAACAAAGTTTTCACTAATGAACATAGTAATAATATTTAACATAAGTTTATTTAATAAGTATCTTGTCTTACTTTCTCGACGGTATCATTTCAAAATTTGAAAACATTTTCTTCTCTTATATTTAAACGGCTACGCTTCACTTTGACCTCGTTTCAAACAATTTAATTATATATATATATATATATATATATATTATATATATATATATATATATATATTTTATTAGCGAAATATATACGCGGCTCCGCCCGCGTACAGATGACCCAAACAACTCTTACATTGCAGTTTTTGTATATTTTTTCTCAGAAATGAGACATATTCCTGTAGTAAAAAGTATCCTATATTGACGCGGATAACCAGCAATCACCATACTAAGTTTCATCAAAATCCCTCCAGTGGTTTTTCTGTGATGCGGTAACAGACAGACAGACAGACAAAAATTCTAAAAACTATAGATTCGGCCTCTGTATCGATAATAATGTTCATTTAAATAAGACTTTCAAAAAAATATTTATTGTACAGATTCGGCTTAGTTACAATTTTATTATATGTATAGATAAAGAACAACTTCTTTACCTATTCTAGTAGCAAACTTTTCTTTTTAGATTTTTTTGTCGAATAACGTCGACTTCGATCGCCTCTTCTACCCATCATTTATTTTGGACATCAATATTAATAACAAGTGTGTATTCAGCTCTTTTTAACGTCCCACTGCTGGGCACGGGCATCCCTTCAATACGAGGTGGATCAGGCTGTAGGTTGGCGGACTTCAAATGTCTTTTGATAATTTGCTACGTTCTCTCAGACATGCGGGTTTCCTAACGATGTTTTCCTTCACCGTTAAGACTAATGGTATACAATGTTGGAAATGATTCGCACATGAAAATATCAAATGTGCGAAACCCGGGATTTGAACCAGCTTCACTCGGTTTCCCAAGCGAGCTACTGGGCTACCACTGCCTTTATTAACAAGTAGGTATAGGTTGAATACATGTCGATGACCTAAGTTCAATGACATACTCATCGTTAGTCAAATAAAATTAAGATCGAATTTCAGTTTGTAACTACGATTTTTGCCAATCTAGTCTACTTAATTGACATGACGCCGGTATGGGCTAATGAAACGAAATTTAGTTTTGTTTATTTAGTAACCATAGTTGAATTAATTACATATTCTACACTACATATTCATTAGTCATGGGCGTGTTTATATTTATAATATGTATTATGTATATATTTAAAAGTTATATATTATGTGTAGTGTATCAACTATCTGGTATATATAACACAGACCCCGTAATTTACAATGGAACCAGATGGTGATGTATGTTAATGTCCCAACATATAGATTTAATTTTTATTATTACAAGGAGATTTTTATACAAAGTCAAACATTTTTGCCTAATCAAACTATTTCTAGTGTTTGTTTGTTTGTTCGCTCGCTCGCTGGCTGGCTAGCTTGCTTGTTTGTTTGTTTGTTTGTTTGTTTGTTTGTTTGTTTGTTTGTTTGTTTGTTTGTTTGTTTGTTTTTGTTCTGGTTGTTTTAACGCGCTAATCTCAGGAACTACTAATCCGATTTGAAAAATCTTATTGAATTAGATAGCCCGTTTATTGAGGAAGGCTATAGGCTTTATATCGTCATTCTACTACCCAAGGAAGCTGAGCAGTAATCATAAATATCAAAAAATCGGGCAGACTTCCATACATTATTGTAAGACTATATATATTACATAAATACAAGAACCAGAGCGATGCGAGGGTGAGTCGCTGTATAGCATAAAGCCAGAGAGTTTTTTTCTATAGATTGAAGAGGGCGAAGCCGCGAGTTCTGCTAGTACTGTTATATATTTTTAGGTGCACTGTCTCAGTGGTTTAATGGTTAGTATGTACGGTTCCTGATCTGCAGGTCCTGAATTTGAGGTCCAGGTCGGGCCAAGTTAGTTATATTAAGTTTTTTTTCAAGAAATTTTCAGTATCAGCCGGGGGTTGGGAGTTTCGCAGTGTGTTACCCCCGTGCCTCGGGGAGCATGAAATGCTGTCAATCACTAATTTCACCGGTCGAGTCTGAATTTTGTTAGCGGTCGGAAGTTTGGACGCGGGCGAAGCCGCGGGTACTGCTAGTATATATATATCCTATTAAATATTTTACAACATTTTACTGCTACCAGAACACTTGACAAAAATATAACTGCTACTATGAACAAATTAATATTTGACTATTTTGCAATTATTGTTCGTCAATTAGAATAAAACATAAGTTTTAATTTGCCTATCTATTTGACCGGGCCTATTACGAAAATAGGTAAATAAATTAAAACGGGATCATTTATAAACATATTTTTATCTATAATTATATATTAAATACAGTCAATGACAAAAAAAATAAATAAAACTATCAACAAGTGAATATCGAAAGTTTAGTGAGAATAGAAACTTAGGAGTAGTCAAGTGTGGAAAAATCTCATTAGGCGCTCCGCTGGTCTGTCCAGTAGTAAATTGAAACTTGTTGCATAATTCTACCAAACACCTATTGATAAGCTGTTGGTTAGTTTTGTTACTATATAACAGGATAACGACTGAGGCACTGTTGTAGAATAATGTGCATTGAGCTTATTAGAGCTTTACATTAAATTTAGTGTATAATAAATATTGTTTCATGGGTTTGATTCTCGCTTGAGGTTAATAAAAAATAGATAATTAGTTAGTATGTTTATTTATAAGAACTCGTTGATAACTATTTTTTACCTTAAAAAGAGATAAGATATCCAAGAAAAGGTTAAAATTAATTAAAAGGGTAAAATTTAAATTAATTAGTCATTCGTAATAAGCTCTTGAAGTACTTAATATTTCGCTAATAGAAAGCTTCAACATCAATGTAAGTAAAGACTCAGGACAAAGATAGATTTGGTAGTTGGCAAAAATTAATAAATATATATATATTATCTCAGTCTGAAAGACAATACGCCATGTTCAGATAAGACCAATACAAATTCCATCGAGATAACAATGATTGAAGATAACAATGACGTCTAATTCCGTCGGCCAGATGTTTAGTTCCCGTTTACTGTTGCTTTCTAAGGCTGGCCGCATGCATGATTTGTGATTTGATTTCCGAATTCGCAATCCAGCTACTTCAAAACAGAAAGTATAAAAACATAGGAATCATTTAGAATGTTTGTATGAAATCGTGAATTCGGTACCCGAATTTGGAAAACGAATTCGGAAATCCAATCTAGAAATCGCGCACATTCCGTATGTGGGGAGCCTAACGCTTTATCTTACCATATAATAGATTTCAGACCAATAGCTTTTTCACTTACATGCAATAATAGATAATAATAGAAGAATATTTAAAACTTATTCAAAATTTAACGAAATTAAGATACTTCAAAGGAAGTGGACTTCACGGCAAATAATTCCCTCCTGACCGATTTCAGACACGGTGGCCAATCACACTGAGACTAGCCAAATGCGCATTTGCATAATTACCAAAACTGACTTTTAACTTTCTCGCATTCAATATGTATAACTGAAAGTAATATTTTATATGTGACAAAAACATCAAAGAATTTTGTAAAAATTGTATTATTTACTAGGGAAACAATAATAATAAATTAAACAATTTTTAAAAACAAGCTTTTATTATATTCCGGCTTCATTTTCACGTCTTCACCATTATGCGTAATGTAAAGAGTATGTAAAACCATAATAACTGATCATATTTGACGACACATTTGGCTCAGTTTGTAGTGATAGTACTTGCTGTGCCAGCGGTCGCGGGTTCGAGTCCCGCCGGGGGCATTAATTTGTGTGATGAGCACGAATGTTTGTACTCCAGTCATGGTGTTTATATTTATAATATGTATGTATTTATCTAGATGGCGCTGTATATTAATGTCCCAACATATTTATTTATTATTATTATTTATTTATTTATATTAGCCCAAATTCGGCTGTCCTACCATATGCTATCAGACAGTTCCAGTCCTTATATCGCGACATCATCATCAGATCAACTCGAATACCATAATATTTCATTATCACTGATATTATTATTACGGCAGTGGTAGCCCAGTGGTAACGCGCTCGCTTGGGAAACCGAGTGAAGCGGGTTCATATCCCGAGTCTCGCACCTTTGATATTTTCTATTTGTGCCATTCATTTCTAACATGATTACCACTTGCCTTACGGCGAAGGAAAACATCGTGAGGAAACCTGCATGTCTGAGAGAACCTAGCAAGTTTATGGGCTGAATACAACAATCACCGATATTACATAAGTATATCAAATTTCATTTCACTTAGATATCAGGAATTGATTGAAATATGGTTTGTTAATTTTGAAACGCAAAACTTATATACGAATATAATTGCAAATTAATACAAAACTTGTATTAAAATAAGGTATCAGGATCATATTAGATAAGTTCTTACCGGGCATTGAAAAGTATCACTAAACTACACAACACAATGATTATATTATCTATATATATATTATTTTTGTTTTGTAAGTAATTACATCGCGAAGTTCGAGAGACGCGAGAGTAAGGACGTGCACTCCCTTTCAGCGGTGGTAGTAGACTGAAATAGCACAGAAATTTTCTCATTTCTTACAGTAGATAAATAATAGTGAACTTATTTGTTGTATATTTTTATATGTTGACGTTGTAAGTACACCATAATAAAACCCATGGTCAAGAAATTCTATAAAATATTCCATAGATTTGAATTTAGTATTTCATATAAATCATATGATGACACAGTAAAAGCTTTGGAATCGTACAGTGGCTTTCACATAGCTATGACATGAAAGTTTCTTATGCTTGTAATTTGACTTAAATTGAATAAGCTTAATACTAGTTTAAAAAAATGAATTTTTGTTTTTAGGTATTATGAAGTATTTAAAATGTTATTTATAATATAATAATAATATTATAATAATAATTTTAATTCAAGATATTAAATCCAATATTTCTTAGTAATAAAACAATTTAGCCTTAAATACTAAATTGGTGTATGGCATTAATAATTAATTTATTTATTCATTTTTATATTTTATATTAAGTTAATTATAATAAATAAATATCCTAATTCAAATAAAAAATCAAATAATTGATAAAATTTAATTTGTATATAAAAAGAAAAAAGCTCAGTACCTTTTTCTCATCTGTTTGTCTTTATATTAATTCTTGGACAGCGAAATATTCGAAATTATAGGGAGCTATTCTCCCTTGTACTCTTCGTGGATTTTGGGAGATATACATATGTACACTGCGGATTGTTGCTAGTACAGTTTATCTGATAGCAGATAAGACTGTGAGAATTTTATTTCTTCCAAGAGGAAGTCTTATTTATTAGATATACCTAAGAATATAATTTAGTCGTCTGACTTAATGATGTTAATATTAAGCAGGCACAGTGTGCCATTTTAAATGTTCAATATCTAAAAATACCTTATCGAAACCAGCAGTTTCCAATCGTTTTCCAAGAACTTCTCCTACTCCTGCTAAATCCGTGACAGGCTTCTCTCCCATAGGTTCAGCTACAAAATTACGATGTTTCTGTGATGTACTAGACATTTTTGTAGTTTTACCTAAGAATTAAAGTTAAGTCAATTCAATTGAATCATATTAAATGTCTATGTCCATTCCAGAATGCAATCTACATATTTTTGTACCTACTACATTCATTCAGTTCAGCGGAAAGTCATGTAAACTTGTATGTAACACCTTCGTATTTGTTAATCAAATGATGAAGTGACACTGTCTAGTAAATAATTAAGTGAATTTTAATTAAATAATTATTGTGAAAAAATTTTTTTTTTTTGGAAACATAATTTTATGGAGAAGTCATAAAAGTTATACCTTTAAAAGTTATGATTTATAGATACTTTTATTGGTTTTATATTTTACGATTATAGTGTATCTTTTTATGATCAAAATACCTAATCTGGTCATAAAGTTCGTAACTGCTCAAGGTCGTCCAATTAAAGCTACTTTCCGATCTAACATATAATATTTTGTTATTTGTATAATAAGTGTATAGTATGCATTGTATAGTATGCATTGTAAATATAAGTACTTATTGTATACTAGCAGAAACCGTGGCTTCGCTCGCGCTAAAACTATAAAAAACAAAACAAAAAAAGTAGGCTTCATACAATACCCTTATGGGATGAATTTCGAAAAATCCTGAAACATGTATTTATTTAATTGTATTGAAGAGCATTAATACCAAGTTTCAAGTAGTTCTGATCATAAATATTTTTTTGAGTTGTATTATCACGTGTTTCCCTGTGGGAATTAGATAATCTCCCGCGGTAAAAAGTAGCCTATGTCACTCTCCAGCCTTCCAACTATCTCCACACAAAAAATCACGCTAATCCGTCACTCCGTTTCGACGTGAAACAAAGAAAAATAAACAAACACACTTTCCCATTTATAATATTAGTATGGATATGGATTATTTCGGTGACAATATAAAAGTATGGTAGCATAAAGATAGTTTGATGGTAAAGCAGGTGATGCTCTTCAAGCATTCTTGGCTTCCTAAACAACTTTATAAGTTAACTATTTTATAAATCAGGTAGCATATATTTATGTAGGTTAAAATTGAAATATTTACAATACATGTGAAAAAAAATATGTATGGGTAAATTAGTGAGATTGACCAAAAATATTACTTTGGCCTTTTATCGTGGTTCCACCCGCGTCGTTTAGCTTTGTAGAATTACTTCATAGTGCTTTGTAAGATACCCTTAACCTTTCTTAATAATTTGCCTATAAAATGTAAAAGAATTTTTCAAATCGAACACACTTTCAGAGTTTAGAGCGTTTAAACTAATAAACAAAAAACTCTTTAGTTTTATATATTAGTATACAATATAGACTCACTTAGCTCGATACAAGAACGATAGATGGACCCTAAGGTCAGTAAAGTGGTGAGGGCCAAGAGGCACCAGAACAAAGGTCGAAGGTCAGATGGGCAGACGAAATTGTAGCGATGGCGGGTGGAATTTGGCTGGACACAGCTGATGACAGAGATTTGTGGCATTCCTTGGGGGAGGCGTTTACTCGAACGGGGTCCATTCAAACAAAATGTTAAATGTTAAAATAAAACTGTATGGAATTAATAAAAGCTTTATTATTATTTTACAATATATATGTGGGCGCAGCATAGGCTTAAAACCTATAAAAACATTAATTCAAAAAAGGTTAATTCAAAAACTAACAAAACATGCCTGGAACTACATTAAATTTGATATTGAATAAAGTCTATATTTAATGAAGATTATACGACCAATTCGAAAAGCGCTTTAAATAAATCCTAAACTAATGCAATAGAACTATTCATATTTTTTTGTCGCTACCGAATAATTTGACAAAAATATTGCGAACACAGAAAACTCAATAGAAATTTCATTCAAACCTTTTAACGTGTTTTGTTTCATTGTACAAAGGTTTTATTTCATTTGGTACGTTTTTATGAGCATTCTGAGTTAGATATATTTTCGTTTTACAACCCAGAAAAACCTCGCCTATAATTCAATTTCCTTTCCAATTTCACCCAGATTCCAATCATAGAGTATGTACAGTATGATGATAAAAGCAAACTAAAATATCAATTCTATTTCAAATTTTTTTTAACCGACTTCCAATCCAAAAAGGAGGAGGTTCTCAATTCGTTGGATTTTTTTTTTCATGTATGTTCACCGATTACTCGAAGACGCCTGAACTGATTTGAATTTTTTTTGTAAAGGGTATACTTCCTAGATGGTCCCATATAAATTTTATCGAAATCGGTCAAGCGGCTTTTTAAAAAATCAACAATAAATATATTTTTTTTAAATAAATTGTTTAATCGAATATGTTATTAAAAAACTTTCTTCTTACAAATTACCTGCTTATTACGTCTACACTAAAAATGAAAAAATAAAAACTTTTTAACAAAAAATAAAAACCGACTTCCAGGCACTAAAATGTAAAAAATAAGTAAACGGAGGTTTTCATTTAGAATAGACCTAATCAGATATTTTCGAAGTCGGTGCCAGCCGACAATATTTTAAGATATGAATATCGAATAGGTAAATATTATGTATTTTACGTATCGAAATATCTTAGATTTGCTTTGCATCGGCTGGCGGTATAAAATAAAGTCGGGTTTGTTACAATACTTATAACTTGAGAACTGCTGGACCTATTTTTATGATCTTTGTTTTGTTGGATTTGTCTTCACCCCGAATAGAAGAATAACTATAAAAAATTGAAAAAATTCACCAAACAAAAATTTGAAAAAAACAAACTATTCCATACTATGCGTCAAAACGTATCTAGTTCTAGGCAGGAACCTGAGTGAAGCGTGAGTGAGTCGCTAGTATACCCATAAAATATTTGTATGTGATTTTCCTCTTGATTACAGTATTATTTGATTTGATCATTCTTAATAACTCTTAAGTCTAGATTTAAGCTTTTGTTCCCGAAATATCGTTATATAGTAATACTGGCTGAGTACAGCAAAAGAGCATTAAGGGTGTATAAAAATAATATCGCAAGGATCGCATTCTAGCTAATATGTAGCCTCGAGCGACCCATAATGTGACACCGCACAGTCATGAAGTCTACGTACTAGAATATTGGCTTTTATCTAACATAATTTCTTCTTAGCATGAAATCTTCTGTTACGTTACTAAATTATATTATTTTAATATTATAAACGTGAAAGTGTGTTTGTTTGCTTGTTTGTTTGTCCTTCTTTCACGTCGAAACGGAATGACTGATTGGCGTGATTTTTTGGGTGGAGATAGTTAGAGGGCTGGAGAGTAACATAGGCTACATTTTACCGCGGGAGATTATCTAATTCTCACGGGAAAACATGTTATATTACAACCCAAAAAATTTTGTGATCAGAATTACTTGAAACTTGGTATTAATGTTCTTCAATACAATTAAATAAATATGTGTTTTAGCATTTTTCAAAATTCCTCCCATAAGGAGGTGAAATAGGGCGTGAAAGTTTGTATGAAACCTACCTTTTTAGAGTTTTTTTTGTAGTTTTAGCGCGAGCGAAGCCGCGGGTTCTGCTAGTATAATTTTGTTTTAAAGTTATATATTATTTTCATAATAACTTTAACTATAATAAATTTCATTTGCTCAAGACGTTATAATGAAAATTAAATAATAATTGTTGTTTTTCATCCAGCCGTTTGAAGGACGCGCCTTTCTGTAAACGGATATCCCGACATAAATACTTAATCTTATCTACTTTTGTAAATTATTCTTGTATTTTGTTGGTTTTGTGAAAAAAATTGAAAGAATTTTTTAAATATTTATGGCAATCCTTTAGATTTAAAATCATTATATTATCGAACGAAAAAGACACTTTATTATCTCTTACAAATGCTTGTTGCTTTTAATCTTAATAATTTAAGATACTAGTACAAAA